CCCCCCTTTTTCTTTGTCTCCCCGTCTTTCTCTGGGAGGCGAAGCAAACCTCCTCTTTCAGTCTGTGGACCACCGTCTTGTCTCCGCTGGAGCACACCGGGCATGCGATTTGCCCGCTGCACTCCACGGCACGGTAGCCCGGGCCGCCGCAACAATAACACACGCCGGACCTATCGACATCGCTGCGACAGTGTTGGTGGACGTGCCCCTCCTCTAGGCATTTGAAGCATTGGAAAGGCCTTGCCACCAACACTTCAACCCGGGCCATCCCCCAGTCCACCTGGATACGGCCCGCCTCCGTTTTCTAGCCACGAAAACCGGGCATTGCACCCAGGCTGTGGAGAAACCGTTGGAGGCTCTCCTTATCCTCCCGACTCTAATAGCTGAGGGCTCACTTTCGGCGACGCCGGCCACGGCGGCAGCAATTTCCTCCGTCGTGACCGATTCTTCTAAGTCTTCTCCACCTTCTTTGAGGGGCGATCCACTTTCACCACTCCTATCGTTGGCGAAGACTTTTTTCAGCCTACCGGCTAGAAGATTCGCTTTTCTTTCCTCCTTCGGGCCGGGCATCTCTAGGATTAGGGTTCCGGAGGTCCTGGATCCCCAGCTCGAAGAGGGAGATCGCTCTTCTGGGCGTCCGCATTACCTCGCCATGTCTTCCGGGCAGGTGATGCAGACGGCCGCTATGTTTGGTGCTCTCAAATTACGCCTAGTGTTGGGGCTTTCCTTCTTGGGGGGGGGGGGAGAGCTTTGCCCCACTCGGGGGTTGATTGTCTTCCGTTTGGGGTGGATTCTCCTCCTTTGTTTAAGAAGTCTGATTGGGCGCCGCTCTTTTGCCCCTCCTTCTCCCCACCATCTTGTTCCAGCGCTCCTTTTCGGGGGACTGCGTGGTAAGGGGAGGGGTTCCCTTTCATTGGGGGGTTTGTCCTTGAGCTGAGGTTTTTCAGACCCCGAGCCCTTGGAACCCGCTTTGGAAGTTTAGGAGGGGCCAGCTTGACCTCTGGAGAGGCCATTAGCCTGAGGTTCCCGGCATGGGGGGTTCGGGAGGAGGGGGCGGGGGGTGTGCCCCGGCCTGCTTCTCCTTCTTCTTCTTCTTGCTCCTCTTGGTTCCCTTTTTCCCAGTCGCTTTCTGCGGCGGAGGAGGGGGTGGCCTCGTCTCCCTGCCGCCCCTTGAGGGGGGCCAGGGGGTCGGGTACCCTTCCATGGCCATCTCCTCTTTCTTTCTTGTGTGGGCCCCCTCCCGGAGTTCATTTTTGAGGCGAAAATGATAGGGGTGGAGGTTGGAGGCCCAAGAGTGCTAGAATTCTTGGGATCCAGACCTCCAGTTCCGCCTCCAAGTCAAGGTTCGCGGTCTCCTACGGGGGCCTGAACATTCTTGGGAGCTCGATAACAGTCGAAACCTCCTTGAGTGGTGGCCTCACCGCCTGCGGAATTATTTCTCCAGTCTGCGGGCGGCTTGTGGGGTCCGGGGGAGGTTCTGGGACGGGGATCGCCCCCGCCGGGGTGCTGCCTTCACCAGACTCCTCCGATTCCACTATAGGCGGACCACTCTTCTCCTTACTCTGGGCGGGGGACTCTCCGCCCGAGTGGGTGTGTGGGAGGGACGCGGAGTGGGGGCCTTCTGCGTTCTCTTCACCTGTCCCCTAAGGCTATCGATCTAAGTTCTCAGGCGGGCATTGTCCAGCCTGAGCTGAAACACCTCCTCTCAAAGGACGCCTCCCCCCCACTCCTCCTCCGATATTGTGTTCCCTCTGCTCTGCGCGCGAAGGGACAAGGCCGTCGTAGCCGCGGAGATCGCTGTGGTGGCCTCCCATATGTCTCGTACTGCTTTTCAGGTTGGCAGAATGCTGAGCGACCTTCCTCAATGTTTCCACATTTTCCACCGCAACGGCGGTGAGGGTGGCGGTAGAGTACTCCCTCCCTGTATTCCCTCGTCTTTCTCGCTTTGTTGGCCAATTCGCGCTTATATCGCGCATTTGGCTTAATAAGGGACCATGGGTCTAAGGTGGGCTCCTCCCCGTCACCCCTCTGTCTCTTCCGCCTCCTTTCAATTCCCGTCTCTTTTTCCTCTCTTTCTTCTTCCACTGTTGCATCTTTCCTTCCTTTTCCTTCCGTCCTCCTCTTGGCCTTGGCAACTCTCCTCCTCTTTTCTTCAGAGCCGAGTTCCAGATTGGTAACTGAGACCAGTATACCAAGTGTAGAAGTATGAAACCGGAATTTTTTTGTAAAAATTACACGTCTGTTGTTTGAAAATGATGAAAAATATTTTATTCAAAATAATGTCTAATGCTATTCATACATTTTTCCCACCTTTCCGGCAGTTTATGAATGCCACGCACAAAATACATTTCTTCTTTTGAAGCGAACCAGCTATCAAAATATTTTCGTACATTTTCATACGAATTGTAGCGTTGTTCAGCTAGAGCGCGTCCCATTGATGCGAATAGATGATAATCGGACGGAACCAAGTCTGGAGAATAAGCCGTATGCGTTAGTATTTCCCAACTGAATGCCTTGATCGTTTCCCTGACCCGTTTTGCTGTGTGTGATGGGGCATTATCATGGAGCAAAATGACTTTGTGTTGCCTTTTTCTATATTCCGGTCGTTTTTCACGCAATGTTCGATTTGAATCGATCATTTGCTGTTGGTAGCGATCAGTGTTAACGGTTTCATCAGGTTTTAGCAGCTCATAATAGATTACACCCTTCTGATCCCATCAAACACAGAGCATTGTCTTCTTTCCAAAGCGATTGCAGTGGATGTCGATGGTTCGCCTGAAATTCACCCATGATTTCTGACGCTTAGGATTCTCAAAATATATACATTTTTCATTACCTGTCATGATACGATGGACTTTCTTTTGTATCTGTCGAGCAGCATTTCACAAGTGGTTTCTCGATTTTCTTGCTGTCTTTCATTCAGTTCATGCGGAACCCACTTTCCCACTTTCTGAATCTTTCCCATGGCTTTCAAACGAATTGAGACAGCTTTCTGCGTCACATTCAATTCATCCGCGAGTTCTTCTTGAGTTTGAGTATCATCTTCATCCAATAAAGCTTGCAATTCGTTGTCTGCTAACTTTTTCAGTGGTTTCCCACGCTCTTTGTTTTTAACGTCAAAATCACCACTTTTGAATTTTTTGAACCACTCAAAACACTGTGTTTTACCAAGAGCATGTTCACCGTAAGTTTCGACAAGCATTCGATGCGCAGCAGTTTTCTTCAAATGATAACAAAAAACCAATGCT